TGTTCTTATGCATTACAGCACCTTAGGCTATGAGTTATTGGTTCTTGCTCTGGCTCTGTTGATTATCTCTGTCAGAACAAATAACGCATGCTTAGAGCCTGTCTTATCACTTAGCGTCCCGCTACGCTCCTCTCTTTTCCTTATGCAAACCAAGGGCTAAAATAATAGCACAGTATGATGCTGTTACAGCTGTTGAAATATGGTATAAAATAATGTTGTTGTTTTTTATGAAGATGATGTTTCTAGAAATGTGTGTTTTGTTTTATGTTAGAGTTATGGTAGTGTTTTGTTGGCTTTAGTGTAGTGGATCTGACTAGAAAGCAAGCATGCATGCAGCCCTTTTCAACTTTTAATTGTCATGTCATTTATGCATGTACCTAACATATAATGCACTACTGTTCAAAAGTTTGGGGTCACTAAGTGTTTTTGAAAGAAGCCTCATATGCTCACCAAGGCTGCATTTATTTGATCAAAATACAGTAAAAACAGTATTATTGTGAAATATTATTACAGTTTAAAATAACTTTTCTGTTTTAATATATTTTAAAGTGTAGTCCTCAGTGTCACATGATCCTTCAGAAATCATTCTAATATGCTGATTTGGTGCTTAAGGAACATTTATTATTATTATCAAAGATAAAAAGTTATTCTGTGTAATATTTTTGTTGAAACTGTTATACATTTAAAAAAAAAAAAGATGTATTCACATTTGATAAATTTAATGCATTCTTGCTGAATAAAAGTATTAATTTCTTACTAAAAAAAAAAAATGTTTTATGTGGTGGTTCATCTTTCTCTCCATTCGTCCATCATATTCATCTACATTTTCTCTGTATATCCAGGTGATCCTAAGAGTTGGCAGAACAAATCTCTCCCTGGGGATCCTAACTACCTGGTTGGAGCCAACTGTGTGTCTGTGCTTATTGACCATTTCTGAGGAGGGCAACAGCAGGTCCCGTTAGTGAATGTGGAACCAGATTAAAGGAGAGAGGACCTTCCCCTTATAAACACACACACACACTCACACTTCCACAAGATGAATGCGCTACGTGACACTAAATGAAGGGTCTCCTGCCTGTGCTCTGGCTTTGTTTACGGTAACCTCTGAGACTGGAGGGAGGGTTGCATTCAATGAAGTGCTGTTTTAATCTCCTCATCATTTTCCTCCTCTTCTTTTTTTTTAAGTGCTTTTAAAGGCTTTCGAGGATAACAAAAACAGACATTACCCATCGATGGACTACATGCTCTGTGCCACTGACCAACTAATACTCGCACTGTAAGCCAACTGTAATATCTTGCGACACATTAAGTTGTGTTGTCTATTTTTTAAAGGATTTTATTAGGTTCTTCCATTCAGTCTAGGCTACTTAAACGTATAGACTATATTAATCTGCAAGTGCATTTGAACTTCATGTAGTATGCACACTATAATGTTATGATTCTCATGTATAGTGCAACTTTTCTAGAATATCGAATTCCAGTTCTAGGCTTTTCAATCGAGCAGTTGAAGTGTACATCTGACACATTTCCTGACTTTTATCATGTCAAGGTGCAGGATCAGTGCTAGTTGCGTGCGTAAATGTCAGAGAGAATTTCGGCATCTTAAGAATAATACAGGATGAAGTTTTCTAGCCAAGGACGTGTCACGTAAGGCTCACCTTTTTTAAATAGCTCCTTTGTAGACACCACTAGCCTCCTCACAGACCTGTGAACTTGAGCACTGGAACATTCCTGCAGTGTCGAGATCTATGCACGTGCTTTGACTCAGGTGTGAAGAACGCTGCTCTCTCCTTTTCCCTCTTTCTCTCCCAGATTCTTCCTCACTCTCTCTCTCTCTCTCTCTCTCTCTCTCTCTCTCTCTCTCTCTCTCTCTCTCTCTCTCTCTCTCTCACTCACTCCATCTAAAGCAGTAATGCCTTATCTGAAACGACACTTTTTTCAATAACAAAAACCTTTGTGGTTTCTTTTTTGCTAAGTTGTAATGATAAATTATGAAGAAACTGAAGTTGTCTTTCTGCCATTTTTGTCAACCCGCTGTACAAATAAACCTGGGTGTTGCACACAAGCAAAATACAGCATAAAGGATAAGAACAGGTTTTCTCTTTTTATCTGCTATGCACATGACCTTTGAAGAGAAACACAAATAAAAGATGGAAGGAGATCAATTGGCTGTACATAAAGCTAGCATATTGCCTTCATTATTGGTTTGTAAATTACTTTTTTTGTATGTCTTTATTTTGTATAAAACTTAAGGGGGGAAACATTTATAAAAGAGGATGAATGAAATGAAAACGATCGTCTTTGTATTCTGATTCTACCCTTGAGCCTTGGAACGTGTACTTAGCAGTAATAATATCACATTTTCTACAGATACAGTAAATATAAGCGTTTTTAATGATAACCTTCTTTTTATTCTTTATTTACAAAAGAAAGTGCTTGATGTAAACTATTCTCAAAACCTGTTTCTTTTCAACTGTGTGCTTGAAATGTGTCCCACGCATTTATTTGTGATACTGGATGCTATATTGGGTGTCCTGAAATGTATTTTTATACTAATAGACGATTTATTATGGCACACCGGAAGACTTTTTTTTTTCTTTAGACAATATAACACAGCTTTGACTGGTCATTAGCTATTCACATGTGGCAGTTTGTTCCCTTTTCAACACAATTTCCAGTATGCCACTCTATTAAAAATAAAATCATTTTTAAAATACACGGTGTTATTTTATTGTAGATTTTTGTAGTTGTAGCTGCAGTACAAAAAGCATTTGCATAAAGATTACAGTGTCCCGCTATATAGGAGCAAGGTGACTTTGAAATTGTGTCTCATTGCCACAGCACGCTGCAGTATAATGTGTAGTGACACTCTGTGGCCTGCAGATGGCGCAAATGCTTTATTGTGCACACACTCTTCAGACTGTTCATTGCGTTTGGCGATTATAAAACTGATTGTAATGATACCGTAGCTTTAATCGATTGGTTAAATCAGGCCCAGCTAAGTGGTCACATCTACTCATTGAATACCCAATGAAACTGCGTGCCTTGTTTCAAGAAATAATAAAAAGTTAGTGAAGTGTTTCATTACAGTCAGAATTGCTTAACTATAGAAAGTTTCAAAGTGTTATTATTTTACGATGAGGCAATTGTGGGGGAAAGAGAAGGATAAATAGTATTCTTCGAACTTTTGTTTCATGACGTGTTATATATACTTTGAAAGCTACAATTTTATAGCTTATAAGTCAATTATTAAAAATGGGGCTCTGGGTTTTCCTCTGACTGACTGCTGTTTGTATATGTAATGATTTATGTGAGACATAGCTATCTTAATACATTAACTATAGACCTTGTAAATATTATGGTAATGTGGTATATTATGACATGTTTAACATCCTTCCTTTCAAGGCATAGACGATCTTTCAGAAGGGCAAACTGGAATTAAACAGTGTTCACATTAATGTTAATGTTCACGTTAAATCAGTACAGTCTGCATTTCAATGTATAGAGAGCTCGTTTAAATTAGCCTACATTATTTTTTATAAATACTCAAAGTATATTTTGGTCATAAATGTTGCTGATGGAATTATATAAATTCAATACATTTTAATGGCATACAACTTTTCATGTCCGCAAATCTGATTGCCCGAAAACAAACATTTGATTGGCAGATCAGTGGGCACTAACAGAGACGGTCGTTTCAGTGTTCGTATCGCTTCGCTTCTCCGTGTTTAAGAAGGAGTAGGTCGGTGAATAGCTTTTTTTCTGTCGAAAAATTATTTTATCTAACAAATCGAAGCGATGTTATTACATCGAGGAGCGCATTTTTAAAAGTTAAATGGTTGGCATATTTTATCGCTCCATTTAGCTCTGAACGGGTTTCTCTCTCTAGCTTAGAGGAGTGAAAATGAAAATCTGGAATGGCATTTCAGCGGAATCAAAGCAGAACGCCTTGGGTTAGGAAGGGAGAATCTCAGTCGCTCCGTTCCATCCATACTTGGTTCCAGACCTGCTTTCATTATGTGCGTTGCTTGGTGACATGAAGCTTGAAGCTTTGACTATTTTAGACAATAATATCCCTACTAAAGTAGCCAATTTTGGTCTGAAACGAAAGTTGCCGGATGCTAATTACCAATTTTATAAAACCAGCATCACAATGGTCCAGTAGTATTTAATTTCTGATAAGAGCCTTACTAATACTCAGTACAGCAGCACTCTTTCTCTTGTGACATTGCGTAAATGACACATTAACCGAACGCAAAGGCTCAGTCTTAAAGCCAGTTTAATGAAAAGTAACAATATGAATAATAAGTAAGATTGAGTAGGCTCATTATATCCATTCACGGACTCTGGCTTTTATGGCTCCACGAATTAGTTCATTGCCCGCATCCATCTATCTGAATCTACATATGGCGGCACGTTCTACCCAAGCACCTGCTCACACATCTAACTGACAGACTACTAGCGCGAGGCTGCGGCTGGTCAAGATTCGAACGAACCTTATTACACTGGAGTCGAACGGTGTGAACGCGTCGTGGAACCTCAAACCGCGTCACATTCGCGCGATCGATGTGAAGTTCGTTCCTCTGAATACGAGCTTTATTATTTAGACGTTCTCTGCTCAGAGCCGTGAGAGATTTCATTAACGGACTGTCACGGCTGTGAACAGATTTGATGGATCACATATCCCGTGAGTTTCCTCGAAGCTGGCGACCGACCATACAGCGCGCGTTTACGCAGAGCTTACCTCATTGTCCTACTGAAATGATTTTGGATAACGCTAGTTGAAACACCTGCTTGAAAACGGCGCACTTACACTGAGAGAAGCACATCGTGAGGTTCCTCGTGTAACGGGATGACGGTCTGCGCGTCTTGGCAACACGCTATGAATTCGTCTTTACGTTGTGTATGTCTGAGCGACTGAACCCAGAGGTGTCCTGTAAACCCGAAGCCCACTGATTTAACTCAAGTTTTGGTTTCGTTTAAACAGTTTAGTCGTGACCATGCCCGTCAGCGCAATGCCGAGGGGTCGGTCTCTGAGCCCGGCATCTCTGTCCCGCAGCCTCTCGCGGCTGAGGGAGTTTCGAACCCGGACTCGCATCATGCTTTCTCTGGGAGTTTCACAGATGGTGCTCGGGAGTCTGATTTTGGCTGTCAGTTTCGCCGCTTTGGCCCTCACTACATCTCCGAGGGTGAGACATTCGTGTCCCTTTTGGGCTGGATTCTCGGTAAGTTGTCTTTATTGTTGAACGATAATGTATTTTTGTGAGTTTTCCCTGAACAGGGGGCTGATATTACGCGCCATTTGTGACCCCCAGCAACTGCCGAGTCAGCAATCACATCACGCGCGGCTCATTCTTAGTCTTCTAATTAAATTCTCCAGCTCATCAAAGAGAGCTGGCGGTACAATATTCACTAAATGCGGTGAGCTCACCTATGAAAGGCTGTGTGGTTGGTGAATTGCCTCTTATAGTGCAGCAGAATGAAGCCAAATGCTTAGAGACGATCAGGCACATTCATTTGCACCTCACTTATGCCTGTTGATGTTCTGTGTGAAAGTGTTTCAACAGGCTGTTAGTTTCTGGCTAGTATTGATTAATGCATCCTTGTTAGATTTTCAGACAGGAATAATTCTGTTCATTAATCACAATAAGAGCACGTCTTTTCCACAGTGTCTGACCACAGTACACACTCTAGAAATGGCTTTGCATCTTTAATTCATCTAGTTTTCTTGTTTTATGTAAATATAAATTTTGTAGCCTATAACTGACATGTTGCCCATTTTGTTAATGTGTTTGTTGTTATACCCTGCTGCTTCTTGCATTGCATTTCAAGCGCATGGCATGCTTTATTTTTATATTTTAAAACGCAGAAAGAACTTCTAAAATTTGGGAGATTAACCTAATTAATTTAATTCCTTTTTTATGTTAATTTCTGAAATGTCTGGATTTGTCTATTTGGCTACACCACATTTTGTCATTCTCAAATTGTTATTTCTGTGCTGAATGACAAATGCACTGTAAACTTTTTTTTTTACAGTGCATTTGTCATTTAGCACAAAATAACATTTAATTGTGTGTGTGTGTGTGTGTGTGTGTTCAGTAACAATTACATTGCCATTGCTCCTCACAAAGAAGCATAAGCACAACCCTCTGATTCATCTTTACAGGACACTGTACAAGGAACTTTTGTAGGGCAGTATTTTCAACACCTTAAAATGTAATGCCGTACAAGTAAATATTTATGAAGGCACACACTCTTTATTTCTTCTCATAGAAGGCGTATGTAAAAGCTCAGTGGTGTTAATTATGGTTGTGAAAATGTAATATAGATGGGACGGGACATGTGTGGTGGCAAAGATAATCAGCCTTGGGGTCAGAGGTCAAACATCAGGGCTCACTGTTCATTCTCCAGACACTGAATGTATTGCATGCAGCAGATAAGGAAACATGACTGTGAGAAAGCTCAGCTGCTTATAACAGTATGGTTTCAAAGGTTTTCATATAGATGTATACTGAAGGTGCAGGAGGATTAGCTGGTTTTAAATATCTGATAGGGTGTTGGGATAGATTTTGTGCCTCTGGGTTATGGTGGGGGCAGATCACCGTGTCCAGGCCTGAGGTCATATCGCCAGAGAGCTGGTGAACATGCTGTCCTCACAGGAGTGGGCTGAGCAGCTGGGACATAATGGAGCTCTGCAGAATTACTTACCAATCAGAGTCTGGATTAATGGTGTGGTCTTGAGTGAGCTGGGCAGGGGGATGAACAGCATGTGTGATTGTCCTTGTGCAGGGGGGAAATGTAATGATTTAAAATGTTCAAAATGTAACTATGCCGCCATTTCTTTGCATCACGTTCCTACACTCCATGGTTCATGCCATACAAGAATCATTTTGGGTTCTGCAGAGAACCTTTCAATAAACAGCTCTTTTTTTCTTAGTGTCAAGAACGTTTTAATCATTAAAGGAACATTTTTCCACTATAAAGAAACATTTGTGCATTGGATAGGTTCCATGGATGTTAAATGTTCTTTATAGAACCATATATGCCAATAAAGAACCTATCCAATTTTACTACTAGTTTTCTGTTTATTTGCATATATTATATTTAGTGCTGTCAAACAATTAATCGCGATTAATCGCATCCGAAATAAAAGTTTTTGTTTACATAATATAGCCTATGTGTGTACACTGTGTGTATTTATTATGTATATGTAAATACAAACACATGCATGTATAGGCTATATTTAAGAAAAATATGTTAAGTTTATATATTAAATACATTTATATATAATATAAAATACAAGAATATAAATGTATAACATGTAAATATTTTCAAAATATATACTGTATGTGTGTGTATCTATATATAAATAATAAATATACACTAGGGCTGTGCGATATTGAAGAAAAATGCGATATGCAAAACAGTTTTACTCAACTCGAGCATTACATAAAAATGTCATTTTAACATTAGTGTAATCAAAAAGGAACACTGATTAGTATTTACTCTATGAATTCAATATGCACTGATTCTTATTTAAGCTACAAAAGTTATTTAGGTAAGAGCAGTGAGTGATTTTCTCTTTGTCTTTTGTTCATGGCCCCAAATATTGCAAGCCGTAGCGATATGCATATTGCGATATGTACATTTGCGATATTTCGATAATTTAGATATATTGCACAGCCCTACTGCTAAACCTGAATGAAGATGTCTGTATCTGTACTGCACAGCCCTAATATACACAGTACACATACATATATAATGTAAACAAAAACTTTTATTTTGGATGCGATTAATCACGATTAATCATTTGACAGCACTAATTATATTGCACTAATCTTTTTCTTTTTAGGATGCCCAATATATTGGTATATTTGGTATATTTTTGAATATTTTATTGATAATATTTATTTATTTTACCAATATTGCTGTGCTTTCAATAGGCTATTGGCTGATATCGGATTTTTTTGTATTTCAGACAGTTTATTTTGTGCAAGAAAATTCATAAATAAATATATATCCATCTTTTGCAGGGTTGCCAGGTTTGTGAAACAAAAATAGTCCAATTGCTATGCAAAACTTGCCCAGTCGTGTTTTTTCCATGGTTTTACCCATTGTCGGGAATCGCTTTAACCCATGGACTACCTGTGGTCGCCATTTTTTCCCCATAATTTTTAATCACCTTTTTGTTTTTTTGCAGTTCCCTTAAATAATTTGAGGTATTTTAAAATAATTAAGCACAAATAAGGTCCTAAAATGCATTTGTATTTATTTATAACATATAGTTTAGCTTGAGCATGTTAAACCGTAAGGATATTGCTGTCGCTGCTTGAAATGGCATGAAAATTCAAAGTCAGAAAAAAATTTACAATAGCTGTACCTAGTTGGCACTGGGGCAGTACCCTCAAATGGTGCATATTAGTATCTTATATGGGTACATACACCTTTGTGGGTAGATAAGGTACAAAGGTACTACTGCCCCATTGACTAGCAACGGTCAATTTTTTTTACTTTTTTTTTTTAAAGAGAGAATAGAGCAGAGGCTGACGAACAAGGGGCAGAAAAAGATAAAAACATCTTTTTTTTTCTGGTAAGACTTCAGGTTAACAGTTGAGGTCATGTTAAGAAACCCTACATCTTTTCTCTCAGCTTTCTGCTCCTCATGTCCCCCACCTCCCCCTCATCTCTCATCCCTCTTTCTTTGCTGTAACATCAGAAAGACACAGAGAGCCTACATCAAGTCTCAGCAGGGAGGCCTGATCAGCAGGAGATCTCTGAATTTGTGTGCGTGTGTGCACAGAAGTATTTTGTTAATCTACCTTCATGTGAGAATTTAACTTTTCGCTATGCAACAAGTAATTTTGTTATTTTGTTCAAACACAGATTCTTTCATTCCAGGCCCATCACGGTCTGGAGGAGAAAATCTTCAGTGTTGGTAGGAATATGGCAGAAGGGTGTTGAAACTCTGACAGCCATAAACAGACATGTCACTAGGGTAACAAAATGAGTCCTGACAGGCTTATATGAAATGACCCTCTGTCATATCACATTCCATGCAGACCTGAACTGTTTCCTGCTGAATCTAGCAACACAGGAACTGAAAAAATAACTAGAACTGTTTGTGAGTGAGTGATACAATAAGTATGTCCACATGTTCTTTGAAAAGTTTGATTTCAGTCAGTTTAAACTTTTTTCAAACCAAAATTAAAATCAACCTTGCTTTCTTTAATGCATGCTACTTGTCTTTGTAAAAAAAAATGATGTTTATAAAAAAAATACTTTTTTTGTTTGACCTTGTAATATTTAATCAAAATTCATAAAAACATGCTCTTCCTGTGAAATGACTCTTCCTGTGAATTGGCTGTCGTCCAATCATCAAACGATGGCTAAAATCAAGCACCACCCTACAATTTTAATTTTTTTTATTTTGAAAGCTGTTTCACTTGAAAGTACATCACAATATGGTTGTGAAATCTATCACAACTTTGGTTTCATGATGACTTTACACTCTTTATCTTGACTGAAATGTTAACATTCAGCTTTTTTTTTTTTTTTTGGACCTTGATAAATGGACCTTGATAATGAGATTGAAGCTCAGCTTTGTCGAGCATGTACACTACTATTCACAAGTTTAGGGTCAGTAAGAATCTCCTTTTTTTTTTCAGCAAGGATGCAAGAAATTGATAAAAAAAAGTGACACTAAAGACATTTATAATGTTGCAAAATATTTCTGTTTCAAATAAATCCTGTTTTTTATTGTATTTTTGATTATGAGAATGTTTAAGAGACTTTTGAACTGTAATGTATGCACATTAACCAGACTACAGTTGGCTTCAGTGTCTTGAACAGGTACTCAGTGTAAAAAGTCTCTTAGTGTATACTGTATATTTGAATGTATGAAGTTTGTAATGTTTGCAACAGCATTTAGTGAATTTCCAGCAAAGCATCCCGAAAACCTTCCCTCACTTTCTGTATAAACCCTGAGTCAGTTAGCAGCTTAGAGGAAATCCTGTTGCAGGGCTGTGCAGAGGTGCCCTTTTTCCCATTATCCCCCACAGAGTGGAGGCAATCTGAAGTAGCCCTGCTGCTCTGGATGGCTTCTCTGGGATGAAATTCATTGCAGTGCTCCATTTAGAGAGGGAGTTGGCAACAAGGGCAAACCTGACTGACAGTTACACATGGCATACGGTTAAGGATGAACACTCTCAAGGGGCACACTGTGGTG